GGCACTTTCAATGTATCCTTTCCAAGATTTGAAGATATTCATCCTGGCTTGCATTTGGATCTGGAGGTTGCTGTTTGTGTGGTGTGGAACAAAGGCACTCATCACTGAAAAATTACAAAACATCATCGTATTTGTTGATTCTGAGAGATAGACATCCACTGCAGACTGCGCTTCCTCCAATAATTTCTTTCCCTCAGCTATGTAGTCTCCTTTTCTGAGGTTGAGTGTGATGTAAGCTTGATTATAAAGCGCCACAGCACTGTAGAAATGATCACACTCTGCAGCTTTCTGCCAGTAAGTCTTTGCTCCAAAGTCACATTTAGTTTTGTTCATGCAGTGCAGGTCAGTCCTGCTTGTTGCCTGTTTGATGTAATCATAGAAATTACAGCTAGTCCCCTGCAGAAGGAAGTCACCGGTCTTCTTCAAGTCTATGGTGAGATCTTCTCTCAACTTGCTGACATCATCATGTCTGCTGATGTGCTCTTCATGAAGGATGAGCCACAAAGCCCAAGATTCTTTCAAAGCATTCAGTGCAGTCTGATAGTCAAACTTGTTCTGGTGGATCTTAAAATATTCAGGAACATCCTTCAGTTTCACCTTGGACAGGTCACTCCTTTCTTCCACCGTGTAATTCTTGTCAAAGTCACACAGAAATTCACAAAATGTGGAGAAGAGAGCTTCTTTAATTTCAATGTCACACTTATATTTCTCCATGCTGTCTAAATGTCTGAGCTCATACTCCTCTCCGAGATGCCTCATGGTTTCGATGGAATGGCCTTGGTACGCTGGTGCAAGATGGCCCTGGTTGAGAACCATCTGGACCATCCCTGGGTTTCCTTTCCGGGCAGTGCGTCCAAAGACCTGTTGCTCCACACGGTGACTTCTAGGAAAGTATGAGAGGAGCACAAAGAGACCTCCACACTCATTTACGTCCTGCTGAACATTAATGTCTGTACCTCGGCCACCGAGGTTAGTAGCAATTATAATGTTTCCCCGGCTAAAGTTTTGTTTCTCAATGTTGTGCTTCTCACTGATTGTGTACATGGTGATCTCACTGGCTTCTCTTTCTGGAAGATCCATTTTTGTCTTCAGCTCATCTGCAGTGTTGACATCTTCACAAATGATCAAAACAACTTGGCCTCTGTCTGCAGCTCTCTGTGCAGTTTCACAGATCACCTGGATCCACTGAGTGCTGCCTCCACTCACCTGAACTGCTGGCAACTCAACAAGCTTCGTATGGCGGTGAGCTGGAATGACATAGCTTGCTGTTTTGTAATGCCGTTCAAGAAATACTTTCTCAGCTTCATCACCAAGTGTCCCAGAAACACCAAAAATGCCTTTTCCACTGAGGTACCTTTTAAAGAAATGGACATTGGACATGTAATTTGTCACATTGGACAGCTGTGAAATGGCCAGCTGGTGCTTCATCTCCAGAAACTGTTGTAGGCCCTCACCCCATCGCTTGTTTTTCTCCAACATCCCACTGGCCTCAAAGTCCACAGGAATTATGGCATCATACTGATGACTATCAGCATCACTGAAACCACCAGTGTCAGCTTCAGGTGCTTTTTCAATCATGTACTCTCTTCCCGGAGTCATTCTGATGGCTTTTAAGGCGTTCTCTGCAAAAAGTGGTAACCGATTCTCAATGTAAGTTTTCAAAAATGAAGGGACGATGATAAATCCCTTACATTCATCCAATGATTTCACAGAACACTGGTCAGAATATTTAATTGTTGATTTTAATTTGTCCACAGCTCCTTGGATGAGGGATTCCTCAGACATGATTTCACAGGTACAGCCATTCTCCAGGAGAAGCAGGCTGACGTCAGGGTCTCCATGAGACCTGTCCGTCCTGTAAAGTTTGGCTTTGTTGTCCATTAGTGAGTAACAATCTACAGACACATTCTTTTCTATTTTTGTCTCAAGTTGTCTCAGAAGCTTACACTGTTTTTCC